CTATCTATTTGTTAAAGTGGTCACAGCCACGTCCGCTTACAGGTTTAAAGTATAAATCCAACAAACCACTCAAGCCAAATTGATTAAACCTGTTGAGGGGAAGTCGTTCTATTATCCCCTCATACTGCGTGAAAATAATGAAATCGGTAATATTCGCTCCCCATATAACGGTTATCTTGAAAACTACTAAAACTGCGGTAACTCACTAATTAAAAACGCCAGAAGCATTAAATTTCATAGCTAAGATAGCACAGAAACGTTTTAGAAAACTCAGTGTAAAAATTGAAGAATGGATTCGGCATCGCCCGCTTTTAGGTAAAATTAATTATCTCAAGAAATATGAGACCAATTTCAACGAAATTCGTTACGAAACACTATCCTGGCACTCTTTTATTGTAGTGTAAAAATGGAAGAAATCATAATGTAACCATGCCTATTTTTATGTAAGACGGTATACGTAATTACGGTATATAAATACCATCTCTTATCTAAAAATGGTGGAAATTGGGTAAGGAACTTTTATGCTCCCAGACCATTACCAATCTCCGACTTCATACCCAAAATATCGGCCAATATTTGAGATATGTTAATTGATCTTTAAAATTGCGAGAGTATAAAATGTACGATAACAGCCGAACTTAGCCTTACCTTACTTGTTTATTTTGCGTTCACTCAGTCAAGGCAAGCAGTTTTCAGCCAAGGTTTCAGCATAAATTAAAATTAAATATATTTATTGACAAAAGTCCATTAGTTTTGGAAAAGCGTACAAGTTTGACTTTGGTCGAAGTTCTAATGAATGCATCGCTTATATAAAATCAGCACAATATACTGATTAATGCCAACACAATTGTCACCAAAATTCCTTAAAGCCTAAATATAAAGCTTATAAACCTGATAAATGACGTTCGTGCGTTTAAAAAATTACTTATACACTTTCCTTGTAATTGAAAGACAGTTTTCTGAGTAAAAAGTCCATTTTTCCTAAAATTCGCACACACTTGCAATTAATAGTATACACTTAGACAACAACACGAGCAACTCTGCATTTTATGCGAATAAATAAACAACTGAAGGCATCTGGTCAATGAACTCGTTATAGCTGTGCTCAAGCAGCATTCCAATCTGTTCAATTGAGCGCAAGCAATCACCCCGTTGAATTGAAGGAAATACGCCTAACGAGCCCGCTGCCCCCGTGTCTGCGTCGAGAGTTTCAATTTGCCTTAATTGCTGATTTTTTTGTTGTTGTTAAATAACTAAGTACACTGATTGTGTTGCGGCAGCGAGCGAACCCTAGCCGTCTATGATGGCCATGAGCTCAGGCACCTGGGTTCGCGCTCGGCGAGGGTCACAGCAGAGGCAAATCAAAATTAAATCACTTCGAAAGAGATTAAATGAATTGACAAGATAATTTCCGATTTAGGCAATTAAAACGTAATTGCTGCGCAGCCGGATTTGTCTAATGAAATTAAAGCATTTTTTGCGCCACTCTTCCAATTTTATTTGCCTGCAATGAGCGATCCAAAGCTTTTCTAAGCGGTAGGAATGAAAACGGAGTGAGCTGAAATTATGGGGTGGAGCAGTTCATGAGGGAGCGAGAAGTGTGGCGGTCGCGGGTGGCAGGTAAGTCAATCATTATCGATCCCGCCTCTTTTAAGAGCAAATTAGTCGGTGCAGGCGCTCAATAAGTCCAAATACTTGTATGAAAAACCACGTTGGGTATAATAATCCAAAATTTAGCATACGCGGTGGAGTTCTGGTATTCTTTTCTCATTAAATACAAGGGCTGGTTAATACAAGGCACCTGCAACATAGCCATATGGCTGAATAATATGTTTCACAATAACGTAAAGAGAAGATACTTGAACCTTCTAGCACAATGTTGCAAAATTTTTAGCTCAATAAAAAAGAGTTCTTAATAATTTCTTTGTACATTTTTGTTATTTGGATATTTAAGATTTTAAAATGATTTTGGGGCTGCGAAGTAAACTACCGTTATTACGCAGCTCGACGTGGTGTATGAATACTGTCGAGATTTCTTTCAGATTGATGTTATACTGTACTTTATCAAACGAAATATATGAAACAAAGCTGTTCTTATTCGAAAACTGCAGACATGAACATCTTAGCAATCTATGTAAAAACTTTTATAGAAGACTAAGTACATTCTTAACACTTTTCGACTTAATTAAGATAAAGTCTGATGTATAAAAAATATGTTTACATGTTACTTTGGTAACTTAGAGAATTTTCACTGCAATTTCCGCAACATCATCAATCCGTTCTAGTTCAATTTGCGCATATCTAACATGTCAATCAGTTGCGGCTTGTGTGTTTTCTGCTTCCTAATGCACTCAGCAAATCTGTCAACAACGAAAGCGGCAACAACGCTGCAGCAGATGATGAAATAAGCAGGAAAATTTGTCTACTATAGCAAGTCAAGTGGTTGAGTAAGCAGCTGAGGCGGCGGTGTGTGGTAAGCGCGCACACTCATTCTCGAATGTTGGCGGGGTTGACAGTTAAGCGCCAGCGTGTATGGTTGTCTCAGCCTTTGGTGTAGTTAGATAGTAAAAAGTTAAGGAGTCCAAACACACCAATGTACCTTATATATATGTAAGTAGGATGCGAGAAGTTTTCTTAGAATTATTGTAAGCAATTTAGACGCATGTTGTCATGCTAAAATCGCGGCTCTTGAGGTAAATAAGTTTACTAGTGTTGCTCTTTATATTTTTTTATAAATGAAGCCGCATTTTTGGATGTTGGAGCTTAGGTTCTGGTGCTTACAGAGCCTTTAGAAATGTCAATATTCTCAGTTCGCTCAAGTACATACCGATCTAGATCAGTTGAGACTGGTTTACGATTTTCTGGTGGTAAAAAATATTTATAGGGGCTTAAAAAGAGAATGAAAACGAGACTAACCAACAGCACCTTAAACCTCCACATAAGAGCGCTGAATTACCGCCGTCATGCTTCTTCTTGCTTGGTATTTTAGCCGAAGGAACGTATGGAGATGTAGCGTTTGAATAATTACCTACCATAACGGTGGTCCTAACTACCTTATGGACTATACTGAGATGGATGGTATGGATAGAGCGTAGATGGTAGCCATGACTGCGTGGCGTCTGATGATAAAAATGTGTAATGCAATTCGACCAACCCTCCTTGGATGCCAAGGAACATGTGTACCTAGTTATCGCTTGCACGAACGAGCACACCGACAGACGGACAGACAAACAGTCACTCGGAATTCAACTCGTTTCGTTATCCTGATTATTTATATATATTGTACATAACTCCATATCTATCTCGCTTAGTGATACAGGCAACGGTTAGGTGCAAAAAACTATTATACTCTGTAGCAACATATAGCTAGAGTGTAAATAAGGTTTTCAATTTCCCCAAAAATTCAAACATTCTATTTATTAGAAATATCTAAATATATACATAGTGTAACAATTTAAAAATAATTTTATAAATACTCTATAATATCAACTATATTCTGCTAGTTAATCACTGGGATCCTTGAAAATATTCTGTACGTAAAATCTTGATCTTGACAGGGATGTGGTAAACTCTGCGACAGATCCCTTAGTTTTTTGGGTAAACTAAGAGGTATCTGTATACAGATTCTTCCAAAAATATTTAACTTGCGATCAGTTAAGTTTTGCTAAAGATTATAAGTTATAAAAATGTATTCTTGTCAGAGCAAGGCACGACCATGCTAAACCAAATGAACTTCATAAATATTGTAGATGCGTTCGGCGGCAGCACTGCTTTGTGAAGTTTCGCTTCCTGTCGCTTTCGTGTCATCTAATAACACAAAAGGCAGCTTTCTTCGCTTCAGCTTCTTTGTCACATTTGGGTTCTCATCTATTTTTCTTGAGCTTGATCTTAAGAGCTTATTACTATCCATTTCATCTGATGTGGTTTTCATATCTGCTGCGACAGCACCGGCGCCTTGCAGACCTTCCAAAACACCCTTGATGAACTCAGCACGTATAAGAGTATCCTCATCTGTGGCATCGGAGAGGTAAGGCTGCCTGAGGGGAATTGGAGCGTATGGTGCCACATACGTTGGCGGGTACAGTGGCAACAATACTGGATACGCTCCGGAACTATATGGCCTTGTGGTTTCATCATCAGAGTCACCATTATTCAAACTGTAATCATCTGAGAGTAGATCGGATGAAGTTCCATTTGCCGATGCGGCAATTTCATCGGACTGAATACGACTGACCAACGGCAGTAAGTTCAGCCACAACAGTGTCTTCTGTTGTCCAGCGCTGTTTGTTGTTGGTGCAATGCGTCCACTTAACGGAACAAACATGGCAAACAATGTTGCGCAAGTGAGAAATAAAATTCGACAAGATAAACTCATTTCGTCGGAAGTTCGCAGTGCAAGTGAATAACTAAGAGGAACGGACTTGCGAAGTACTATTTATAGTGAAGAGTTTGCAATCGAAAGAAAGTTTGAAAGTGGCACTTCAAAGTTGTCGAGTTACCATTTTTATAGCTTGCAAGTTTAGCAAATCAACGGTAATAAGCTGACGAAACAAACAAGTGAATTAATTAAGATGAATTCGTTTGTTGACATCGCCACCCACACACGAAGCAACAGAAGCGAATAATTAGAAAACCTAACAGACAAGTGAAGAAATGCATAACGCATAAAGCTTAAAGCTTAAAGCTTTTTGCGGTAAGCACAAAGTAAGTGAAACTTTAAAACTCAAAATTTTTGACTCCCTATACAATTTAGAACTGATCGTCAGATCGGCAATCAAAAACTATGGAGTAGTTGAAAGGTCGCAGAAGAGAAGAAAAAGACGATAGAAATTTCAGCTTAGTGTCTTCTTTGGTATTTGCTTTAATAAAGAAGAACTAATAATGAAAACCATAAAAGAAACGTTCTTAATACACTCGACCACATATAAATAAGCTTGTGTGCAACACTTAGTAAATTAGTTGTGCTTCACCAATCGAACGGCTTATCCGTGACAGTCAAAATGCTTTACAGTTTTAAACTTAGCGTTCTACTAACGACACTGCTGCTCCAAACAGTGACAAGCAAACGTGATCAAACGGCATCACAAAGTCACACACCACAAACGAAGTTGATAACACTAAGAGAAGTAAACGAACAAGACTACGATGAGGATTCCGGGATTTTTGAACTGCCGATCGTAGCGGGCCCACGCGATTTGGGTGCACTACTGGCGCTGCAGACAACCACCACCCAAAAACCACATTATGATCACCACGAGCATCATTATCATCACCACCCCACTAGGCGGCCACCGAAAAGGCGACCCCGCCCATGCTCTGACGACGATGAAGATAGTGACGATTGTGTAGATAACTACTATGTTCGACCATCATGGCATTACACACCGACCTGGTATGCAACGCCACCGCAACCACCGCCAGTAGTTGGTCCACATCCATCTTATTATGGGCCCCAGCCAATTTATTACCCTCAACCATCATATTATCCACAACAATATTATCCACAACAATATTATCCACAACAACATTATCCACAACAACATCATCCACAACAACATCATCCACAACAACATCATCCACCACCATATTATCCTCCATCGTATTCACACAACTATCCACCATGGCACATTTATAACCACACGCATACAGCAGGTATTGGCAGTCATTGGAGCTCTGCTAACTGACAGCGCTGGATTGGACTACCTCGATGAAGAGAAGTTGCGAAAAAAACTGCGAACTTTTATTTAGTTATATAAGAAAAGGGAGGTAAAATATTCTATTTTTAGTAACTGAAATAACTTCTTTTATACTTAATTTTTCCATTTCGACTTTTATTCTACTTAACTTATAAATAAAAAAGTATTTTGTTCGCTTTGAACAAACTATTGAATAAAAGGCGCTGTATTTTTATTACTTTACTCTTTATACTTGGATGAAACTTAGCAAGAGAGTCTTTAAACAATTCTGTTGTTTCTTTGTCCACTTAAGATATTTGTGACAGATACCGCTATAAATAGTAATTAGGTTATTAGACATTCATTTGGTTTGCCCAAAGTTTTCTAAGCGGTAAGAATTCGGTGTATTCTTTATGTTATGATTGTCTTTGCACAAAAAAACAAAAAACGTTGGATTACTGTTCTTGCTGCTTGGCTTTGCATTGTGCTGTGAACCTGAAAACTCGCTCCACACCGCCGTTTCTGAGGGGAGAAAGTTTATTGTTCACCAAGAAGTTCAAAACAATGCAGAAATTCCCGTTAATGTCAATGTTATTACCGTAAAACGTAGACAGCACAACAAATATCGAATTCCACGACCAACTCCAAAATGTCGCAGACCATCATATCAGCGACCCCCTTCAGCTCTACCACCAATACCTACAGTTAATCCAATGCCTCCATCACCGTATTCATTCTAGCAACCACAATGCTATCTGCCGTATCCACCAGTACCATATCCATCACCGCCATAGTACCACCTCCACCATCCTTAATCCCTTGTGCGCCACCTCGATTTTAATAAATGCTTCGACTCAGACACTACTTGGCTTTGCCAAATGTTTCTTCGCACAAGATGTGCCATATGCCCGGAACGACGCCACATACCTTTTGTAATCATTTTGCGAGTCATTGGACTTACTTAACGAATGCAGATTTTTGCAACTTAAGCACTTTTTTAGAGCACACTGCAGAACGACCAAAACAAGTGAAATGGTTTTGCCAGCTCTTTCCTACCGATTAGATGTGTGAAGATCCGACTAGTTTCTGTGAAAAATTCAACACACACTGGGCCTGTGCAGCCCAAGAAAGCCCCATGGCCGACTACTCACAGCCGCCAGCAGGATTCGAAAGCTTCTGCAATCTTGTGCTTAATTATTGGATGTGCGAAAGTCCGATTCAACCACCAGCTGGTTTTTGTGAGTCGAGTCCGAAGAGTTGGGCTTGCCAGATCCAGAGTACGAACTTGGAAGCTCAATCGCCTTTTTGTGTATATTTTCCATTGATTTGTATATTGATAAACTATCATACCATCTAGATCAGCCTTTACCTGGTAGTGTGTTAGGCGACAGTATACGAATACCATCTCAGCTTTTGAAAATGAAGCTGCGTGAGCCTACTGTGCAGCTGTTTGCTAAACCGAAACCGGTGTGTGTGGCTAGGCCCAATAAGAGTGTCTACCAACCGGCGATTTTCGTTTACGAACAACGTATTGCAGATTTGGATTGATTAGAATAATTTGTTTTCATGTCACTTACTTAAGAATGTGGTTAGATTATTTTAGATGAGAATATAGTTCATCTCGTTGAGACAGTGCCCTGGAGGCATTAGTACGTTGACGCTTCTGATAAATGATTTATTTTTATATGAGCATTTTCACTTTGAAATATTAACGTTGAAATATTAGCTGCTTTGTCGGCTTTGTTTATACCGACGAAGTAGCTGTTATGTGCAGAGTGCATTATGATTGCCACGAAGTTTGCAATACCCAGAAGGAAACGTCGGATACCTTATAAGATACCCTAAACAAAATATATAAATTATCAGCATAGTAAGCTGTGTCAATTTAGCAATGTCTGTCTGTGTCTATGGAAACTTTTTTATTTGTGAAGGGTATTATAGTTTATGTTTCTAAGTGATTCCGACTTGTTTTCGTGCAAAAGTTCGATCACCGCCAGAGAAAGTAAACCAAAATATCGGTCGTTTTCGTTGACCAAGCCTACGACAATCGTTCGATATGATTTTATACGCCGTTTCAAAGTCAAACGTACGTCAGTCAAAGTTAGCTCAATTAATAGTAAAGATTATGTAATACAGTATAATATTATATATGTACGTATATATATAACGGTAATAGTATGTTATGGAAAGTATGCGAATGCTAAAGAAAGCGAAAGTAAGGAGAAGCTGAAACAACATCAAAATAACAAGCTTTCACTTTCGTTTTCAATTCACAGAGCCAAAATCGAAGTGTGGCACATTTAGATTAATTTTCGGCTTCAGACGCAGCGCTAGTCAAATTATTCGTTAACGGTGGTCATTTGGAGAAAAGTTAAATTAAGCTTCGTGTTGGTGGAATGATTGCGCATAAACTATTAACTGCTGTGATATTTACTCTGATAGTTGGTGGATTGACAAAATTGTCGCAAAGTGATGAAAAATTTTTACGTCGTCTCTCCAAATTGACGTTAAGTGAAGTTAAAAGCGAATACCAAATCAAGGAGGTGGTGCAGACTGCTCAGCGCTATAACGGCAGTCAGTTGGTGCCGGCCAATAGCTATAAGCTAGCGCTCTTTCCGCCGTTTTATATTGACGTGATCTACAACCCCGGCAGGCTGCAGCCAATAGCGCAGAATGCAGCCAATGAAGGAGACCCCAAATAAGTTGCAATCGAAAGGCAGAACAAAAAAATCAATGATATGCCAATAAGCGGAATCATAAATATTTATGAGTGTATTTATTTGTTAGAAAATAATAATTTAAACATAAAAATTGGTTGTTCAATTTCAAATGAAATATTTTAATAGTAACCTATACCCTCTACTACTATTCTAAATCAGTCTGTTTACTATAACAACTACTCTTGAACGCAGCGCTTATGCGCTGATTACACACTCACACACCACATAATTGCGGCTAAACATAATCCCTTGCCCATTTAGTGGGCACTTGCATCCGCAATTTCACTTTGGGTGCACGCATTTTCGTCGCCTTCGTCCACATCCGGTCGGTTACTTTGCATTTCCTTTGATTTCCGCGCGATTTCCGCCAGCTCAAATCGTGCATGTGCATATGTAGTTTGAGTTGGCAACGTTGCCTCATATACGCTTCAAAATAGTTGCCATTTAGAAATGTACTAATTTCCGTCTTTGCCAATGTATGCCACCAATTTGTCGTTGTAATATCCGCTTATGAAGCAGTGTCAGCGCGATGCATTGCTCTGCGCGCTTTTGACGTCGTCGCCGTTCGGTTTAGTGACATCTGCGACAGCAATCATCGGATCAGCGGCGGCAGCACTCACAGCAACAGCAGCAGTGGAATCTTCCGCTTCAGCATCAGCAGCTGTGTCATTCACATCCGCTATTTCCTCGTCATCATCACTGTCACCGTCGTCGCCACTTTCGCCTTTGCTTTCATCGTCGTTATTTTCGGAATCATCGCTGTTTGCGTCGCTAACTCCACCGCTGGCATTTTTCAATTTTGTTGATTCTGTCTCGGTTTTCAACAGCTCTGCATTGTAGTTCTCGATATTTTCCTGCTCTTCAATAGCGGCAGCATCCGCTTTGGTACGCTTGTATTCCAACCTATCGTCAGCACCCACTATTTCGTCAGCAGCTACAATCACAGCAGTGCTGTTAGGTTCACGGTCCACGCTACCAATATCCCCAGCCTCTACTGCTTCTAGATGTTTTCTGCCATTCTCCGTTTTGTAATCACTGATCACATATTCGTCGGTATCAATGGACGCATTGCCATCATTATCATCGTCATCATCATTGTCACCGTAGCCATCATCATCTTGGTAATCTTTGTCAGCGCCATCTTCACTGCTGTCCATTTGTTTGGTGTTTTTGCTGTTGACGGCGCTTACTGCCACATGCTCGACACTTTGGAAATTGACGTCCTTATCACTCAAGCCGCCTTGGAGTGGCTGTCGAGTGTCATACTCGTATGTTTTGTCATTATCTGTTTCTAAACTGGTTGTAAATTGTGCAACTGCTGTCATTGCAGCTGCCTGCCGCACACGGCTTTGAATGCCATTAACATGAAGCGATGCAGCGTTGGTCACATAGTCATCAACACCACCATCACCATCACCATCAGCATCGGCATCACCATCAATTGCACGCACAACCTCATCAATGTAGTAATTTTCGCCGCTCTCCATTCCATCCTCCGCAATGTCCACACCAGCATTGCTTTCGCCATAATATCCATTGCCATGAATGTCAGCGCTGCCTACACCTTCGTCAGCGACGCCTTCATTCGCTTTGTCACCAGTGCTGTCCATTTCAATGCGACGCTCTATTGGCTCAGCAACCACGGGCTCTCGGGGTCCTACTGGCAGTCCATTTCTGCTGTCATCGGCACTTGTAATTGTCAACTGTTCATGATTTTTTATTATTTTCTCCCGGTTATTCTCATCAGTAGTGTTTGCTGCTTGTACGACTGTTGCGTTTGTAGTGGGTAGCTCGTGTTCGCCGATATGACAGCTTATCGTATAACTCAAGGATCGTCCAAGCAACACACGTCCTCCAGATATCATTTCTGCCTTTTCATTCTCAATTTCATTTTCATTTCCATTTTCATTTGTTTTGCTGTACTGCTCACTTTTAATTATCTCCGTTTTGTTGCACATCACTTCCGATTTTGGCACTCCTTTACGCTCGCCCATCACACTACCTACGGTTGTCGTCTTGTCCGGCTGTGCCGAAAGCGTGTGGCTGATGTGTTGTAATCCAGTAGCCACCCAAGCCGACTTGTCGTTTGTGTTCTCCGCAAGCAACTCCTTGTTGGCGGCGAAGTGTGAGTGTTGTTGTTGGTGAATAGTTTCCACTTGCATTTCATTGGTTTTGTCAATATTTTCAATTTCCTTTCCTACATCGTTTTCAATTGCCACTTCCAGATGCTCTAAATTGTTTGCTGGCTCATTTGCAATCGTTGCAATCGGATAGGTTGCGAATGGCATTGCGGTTGCATCAAATAATGTCATTACTTTAGTTGTTGAAACTTTTGTTTCTGTTGCTGCTGGGTTTGTGGTTACAACATTTACATTACTGTACTCTGTTGCTGACTTGTTATTTTCTTCGTGCTCACTTTCATTACTTTCGCCATATTCATTCGATTGATAATTTGTTGTTGGTTGGTTAAGTTTACTAAATGGCGGTGCTTCATCTTTCTTTGAATCCTCAACACACATTCCATTGCATTCTTCCTCCCCATTAAGCACTTCCTGAAAAAGATATTCTTTTGAACTGTTTTCGTCACTCGCAATCTCTTTCGTGCGAATAAAATTTGTGAAATTCATCTGGGCCTGTAATATCGCATAATTCGATCCATAACCAATCTCCATAGAGTCGGTTCCATCATGCAGCATTTCAGCTATCGTATCGGGTCGTTCGTTGCTAACTGTGAAAGTTTGAGTTTTTTGAGCATTTTCGTATTCGTGTGAGCTCGTGGGTAAAATTGCGTTTTCTGGGCTTACCTCGTGTCTATCCATTAGTTGCTGCATCACATTAGAAATGGGTATAGAAAACTCATAAAATATTTCTGTGAGACTCTTAAAACCATTCTCTATATTGACTGTTTTGAAAGTATTTGATAATGCGCTCGTGGATATTGTTGGCTCCGAGGGCTCAGATAAGAAAACCTCGGCTATCTGCTGTGGTTGGTTATATTCATAAATATTCATCAATTCACTTGTTTGTGACAAATATTCTTTTGATACACCGGCTAAGCTAGTTGCGTCGTCTGAGATTGGTGATTGCTTTCTTTTAGACGGTTTCGGTGCTGATTGTGGAAGTTTTAACGCCTCATATGATGTCGTACCATAAACCAATTCATTATTGTAGTTTGACGACTTGTTTATTGTAATGAAATGAGTCTCATATTCTTGCTCCTCTGAGATTCTATCATCATACAGCGTCATTGCTGCTTGATGATTCTCGTTGGTAACCTCTTTCACATTAGATTGATGCGGAGGCTTGGATAATTTCAAGCTGTCATTATAGAACGGTTCAACGCTAGGATTTATAGACTCATTTTGTTGACCTCTTTTTGTTGTAATTATAGTATCCTTCAAGACTGGTATTACATATGAATTAGCTGGTTCTTCATTAGTATCAGTTGGTTGCATTAGAGGCATTGGTAATCTTGGTAACACACTGTACGAGGATGCCTGATTAATTTTTTGGTTGTAATTTGTGGCAACATTGGCCGTCAAGTTTTCATGATTATTGTTTATATTACTAACCAGCGCATACACTCTTTCTGTTGGGTCTTCATCAGTGTATTCAGCCCTTTCTAGAATATTCACACCATTTTCACCAACCATGTGTTGTTGTTTTTTGATGTTCTCCGCATTTTTTTGTAAAAAGTCTAACTGCTGCTTTAAAGTTTCATTGCTGCCAACATTCTTAATGTTCATACTCAGATTCTCTATTATGTGATCCTCAGATTCGTTCGAATCTTCACTGCTCGTAGTGGTTAGGTTGTGATCATCGAAGTTGGTTGTTTTTTTAATATGCGTCAAATAGTCAATTGCCTCGGGCCATCGTTCAGGTGTTACTTTGGTTGAGAGTTCAAGGGGTTGTGCGTTTATCGTTGCGATTTGTTTGTTCACATTCGCTGAGTTTTTTAGATTTGACTCATCTTCGCTCACTCCTGTAGGTGATTTTTCATTTGTGGCATATTTTCTTTCATAATAGTTAGGATTTAGTAGTTGTTCTGTTATAATATGATTTTCTCCTTGCAGTAAAAGCTCATCCATCAAAGATTTCAGTCGCTGGCTCGTCTCGTCTATCGCGATATTGTCTTCTTTTTCTGAAATATTGCCTTCCTTCGCTTGAACATTTTTATGTGTTTCTTCTATGAAATCAGTTGAAATTTTCGGAGTTGTAAAAATAGTTCGACCTGGAGGAAGTGAAATAATTTAAAATTGTTTACTGTTTTTTATAATCGTTCATTATTATACCTTCATTTTTAGCTATTAGTCGTATAAAAATAAGCACCGCTAAGAAACATATTTCCGTTATTTTCATTATAAATAGAATAATAATATTCTTATAAATTATTTAATATAAGAACACTTAGCAAGAACGCTGCCGATTGAACTAAACCGAATTCCGAAGTTTCGCTCAATTTTATGAGCCATACAAACAATGTTGTGCCAGAAACGAGATCTATTCTAACTAGTGCCGTTCTACGCTATTGTTATTTTTTTAAATAAACAATACAAAAGAATGAAGTCAGATTAAATGAGACAAAATGCGTTCAAATCCATTATAACTGATCAGCTGATAATTGATTTTCTCTTTTTGTTTTATTTTTTACTTTTGAATTTTGGATGCCGTTGGCATATTTGGTTGCTGTTATCTTAGACATAACGGCTTTATATATCACGGCATTGCTTGTTCCGTTATTTGCATAATGTAAGTGCGCCTAGTTTTTCAGAAATATTTAGGACACTTTCTATTCCAATTGTTTATACCAATCAATTTAATTTCTACTATTTGCTTGTTCGATTCGACTCTCTCTAAGTTCTGACCTACCTAAAACTACTGATTTAAATTAATTAAAAATAATAAAAAAATAAAATAAAAACCTTAACTGCGGTTGCACCGAAGCTATAATACCCATCACAAATAAAAAGTTGTCTATATATGAACGTCTTTGTATGCTATAGATGCTAAAGAGCCACGGTCTAAAAAATGTGTTCCAAAATTATACCGTTATAATTGTTCAAATTATTTTTGCCAAATTTCGTGAATATATTTTGTAAAATCGGAAAATATTTTAATCGGTCAGTTTGTATGACAGCTATATCCTATAGTGGTCCGATATCGGCGGTTACGACAAATAACCAGCTTTTTGGTAAGAAATGGACGTATGAAAAATTTCAGATTGAGATCTCAAAAACTGAGGGAATATCTCGTGTACATACAGACATACTGGAGCAAAGACACTAATCATGCATATATAATACTTGTATATATATTTTATAGAGTCTCCGATGTTTCCTTCTGGGTGTTTAAAACTTTGCAGCAAACTTAACATACCCTGCTCAGGACTTATAAAATGCCCTTCTTTGTGCCATTGCTTGTTTAAAAATAAATATGGAGTTTTGTTCGCAACAATAATTGCATTTACTCCGAATTAAGTGTGCAAGTCGGCACAATATGTAGAACACTGTCCTAATTCAGTTAACCCTTTCAAAACAGTGCAAAACAGAACTAACTGCACGAAAGTGCCGTTACCATGATCAGTTCCATTAAAACTCCTTCCCTTCCCTTCTACAAATGTTTGTCTGCATATTGTTATGTAAATTGAAATTTATTGAATTTGCGCGCAGCTTTTGCCAACAAATCAAGCTCTCCGCTTTCGTTTCGCTGTTGCACATCAAATTTGTCATAATTTCCGTAAAATTTTATTCATAGACTTGTCAATAGCGAGCCATATATCAACAGCACAGGCAGCATTAACATTAACAGAGCAGCTTTTACTCGTACACATCAACATATGCATGTATGTATGTTTGTGTGCGTTTGAATGGTTTTGTACTTTGGTTATCGCCGACTTCACTATTCATCGGGTTTTATTAAAAACCAACTTTTTTGCCATTTGTCCATCATTCTCACATTCATTGGTGCGTTTACGCTTACAACACCAACAATACCGCTATATTTACATACATATGTGAGAGTTTTTGTAGGCCAACAACTGAACCGGTTTCACTGTGTTATTAGTTTATTTCCAGTTTTTTGTGTTGTTTTTGTCCACAGTTTGGCCTGCTTATCATCGCTGTTGTTTTTCTTGTTGCTTTACAGATTTCCATAATGCTTTCGGGCTCGATGCGGCTCACTGACCAAATGAATAAATTTCCATCAATATACAGCTATGTAAATATGTATTTTCAACGCATTCGTCAATCGAGGCAATACCGTAAACATGCTTTACGCTTGTCTATGTGTGTGTGTATGTTTGGTTAATGTCAAAAACGTATTGATTCTGTCCGACAAAATATATCTAAGGTATCATATTATATAATATTTATAGCGCTAAATTAGTCAGTATTAGATTAGTACAAGATATCGCTGAACTGAGTATTTGTCCGTAGTAATAATCTTGATCTTTTTAGCTGCTAAGAAGCTAAGAAGCCATGGCCGTTAATATCGAGTCATCGTGATCATGCACTTAGGTTAAGATATTTGGAGCAACAGTCGCTTATCTCTTTTACTAACGAAAAATAATATATTATATAATAAAATGAAATAAAACTGAGTGGAAGAGCTCTTTCATACCCTCCGTTAATCAGTATAATTATTCCTAAAAATAGTCATGTATACTTGTGTTTATACGGGAATCTAAATAGACTATTAAACTGTAGGCCCATATGATGAGGTACATTGGAAAAGTTATGGTCTACAATTATTCCAAATTTGCTTATATGAAGACCTAAACATTTTCAAGAAAGCAGCTCAAGAAAACGGAAGATCAACTATAATTCATTCATGCCCGAAGCGTTCGACCTTCGGTAATATCTTTGTTTCTTATTATTATTACAACGAAATTCCCATCCATAGATCACAACCTATCAATATTATTGCATCACATCGTCATCACATCACCATCACATTTTGATCAATTTTTCGCTCTAACTCTACTTCTAACTTCCTGAGAAATATCATTTATGCAAATAATCTCCTAACGATCTTAAATCATAACTTATCATGTGATCATCAGTTGATGTTCACTAATTCATTCAGTTGATGTTCACTCATAAATAGTGAAAAAGTGACCATATGATATATTGTAATTCTTTTAAACTCACTTTTTCATATCTCAAAATTAAACTGTAATTTACTAACAAAATTGAAATTTGTGGCATGATGTCAAAGCAAATATAATTTCAGTAAATCCTAATTACTCATTTTAGCTTGCATGCAATTAGTAGGAGTCATCCTCTCGCATTCGTAACATGAAATGAGTCCCTTGCAGAAATACAAGACATTGATACATATGTATATAGCTTTCGAATACAAGTATCGCATATACAAATAACTGCCAATTATTATATATGTGAAAGTGAGTAAAAAGTTTTCGAGAGCAGCAATTTAGAGTGTGATTACCCGAAGCAGGATTAGCAGCAATGAAGTGGAAAACTGCAATGACTTCGCATTCAAATACATCGGAATAAAGGGCAGCGGAAGAGGAAGAAGAAACTGAAAGACTTCAAATTGCTTGACAGAAAAGTAATGAAACGAAATGCTATTTGTCAGGGCGGCGTCGAGTTGGGTGAGAAATCGTGAAGCTGACCCGTACGCTGCTCTTCGCAATGGCAATGTCAACAGCAATCATAATAATTGTCACTTGCTGCATTCCATTGCCTGAGCAAATAGCACACAAGAAACAGAAACAGAAACTAAGTGTGCTCTGCAAAGACGTACACACACACACACACACAGCCAAAGTCAGCAAGTCTCATTGAGTCTCCGTGTAATTCTGCATAACCTTGTCCTTTTAATCTCACCCGGTCTTATTTCTCTTTCACACTGCTTTCTTTCTAATTTTCACCATTCTCTATGCTTCTTGCACTTGTGCGCTTCAATGGACAAGTGTATGTGTAAATGTGCAAATGTGTGGGTATGTGTGCCATCACTCGTATGCCATGTCCATAGCTGGCGGTTGAGTGAAGTTCAAACAAACGCTTAGTAAAGTCAAGAACGTCAGGTAATGTCGCGCAAATAAGCCGGCAGCTTGGAGCAGACTAAAGTCAATTGTCAGTCAGTTGGTGTAATTAAGAAAATTACCGGACTTCTTTGTAGTGCCAACAATGCACTTGTATGTGTGTGAGTACAACAGAGTGTGTGTGTGTGTCTTACGTTAGAAAAGGTTTCACTGTGTACTGAATGAAGCTGAAGTGCTGGAACAGAATATTTGACTTTGGAATTTTTGAATGTTTCAGATTTCGAATGAATGAAGCGCTTTTTACTTTAATGTCCCATCCACAGAAGTCGACTTTCAGCACAATCCTTTGATAGATGAAATAGATGCGATAAATTTCGTACAGTCTGCTTGGCCACTTGCATTTTATGACTGAAATTTGTATTACTTTTTGTATTTTGTATAATAAGAGAAAAATTATTTCTATGTTTCACAAAGCTTGAAATTTAACGCGGTATTTAACAGACTTTTGTCCCGTTTGAAACCTAAAAATTGGTCAACCCACATTTACTCTTATACGAAATTGGGTACCAGAGTGTTCCGACAACGATAAAAGCCAATTAACTTTCGGCCCGAAATTAGGTTTCGCTAAATATGTACTTCGCCGCTAGTGGGTGGTCCAGGCTTTTTATGGTTAATAAATAAAAAAAATTTCTATGCATGATAGCATATCTACTCAACTAATTATTCTAAGTTTCGTTAACATCTTCATCCTCTAATGTAAAGAAAAAAACAACATGGTTAAGCCAAAAACATCGACCTTTATCAAACGTTTACTTTTCCCAAGAAGTAGTACAACTGGGATCGAACACAAAAGTATAAAAACCTATTAAAAGTATTCTGAAAATTGTTTTCTGCATAGTCCTTGTGAAAATCTTCCAGACGTTCTTTGTATTTCAGCCTTGCTACACTCCATAATGACTGTAGAAAGCAAATGTTTCTTGACCAACAGTAGAATCTATGAATAACGTGTCAGTTGTTTTTAAGAAGCTCGCTCAGTTCGAAAGAATTTACTGCTTTCTGAATTAAAGGCCAGGTAAATTTTTT